CTGGAGCAGGAGATCAGTGAGCTGAAGAGGAAAGACGCTGAGCTGGAGCAGCTCTCACACACAGAGGATCACTACCAGTTTCTACACAACTACCCCTCACTGCCAGCACTCAGTGAGTCAACTCACTCATCCAGCATCAACATCTGTCCTCTGAGACACTTTGAGGACGTGACAGCAGCTGTGTCAGAGCTTATAGATGAACTACAGGACGTCCTGAGAGACTCATGGACAAACATCTCACTGAAGGTCACTGAGGTGGATGTTCTACTGTCAGAACCAGAACCAAAGAGCAGAGCTGGATTCTTAAGATATTCATGTGAAATCACTATGGATCCAAACACAGCATTCAGACGGCTGGTACTATCAGAGGGGAACAGGAAGGTGACATGGATGAATCAGGATCAGTTTTATTCTAGTCATCCAGACAGATTCACTGGATGGTTTCAGGTTCTGAGTAGAGAGAGTCTGACTGGACGTTGTTACTGGGAGGTGGAGTGGAGCGGGATAGAAGTTTCTGTAGCAGTCGCATACAAGAACATTGGCAGAGTAGGAATTGGGAATGAATGTAGATTTGGACGTAATGATAAATCTTGGGCATTAGAGTGTTCCCAAAACAATTTTAAATTTGGTCACAACAACGTTTGGACCTCTGTTTCAGGTCCAGGTTCCTCCAGAGTCGGAGTGTTCCTGGATCACACAGCAGGTCTTCTGTCCTTCTACAGCATCTCTGAAACCATGACTCTCCTCCACAGAGTCCAGACCACATTCACTCAGCCGCTGCTGGCTGGAATTCAGGTTGGATATTATGGAGACTCTGCAGAGTTCTGTAAACCAAAGTAGATTCTCTCTGATTGTTGATCAGGGTTCATTGCTCTGTTGTTCTGCTCGTTTTTTATTTTTATCTCTATGTTGTTGTTGTTTTTTTCATTTTTATACGACTGAAATATTTCTCCCCATCAAAATCTAATCTTATCTGGGCTCCAATATTTGTATTGTTGTATTCGGTTGTTTTTGTTAGTTTAAATCAGTTGAGACTGAGGTGAACTGAACATGTTTCTGATTTTTTTCTTGTCCTGAAAACAAACTAATATCAACTAAGAACTGATGCTATTTTCTTATCAATTATTTAGATGTAGAAAAGAAATTGATGTGCATCAAATAATGTTAACTTTATTTAAATAAAAAAATGAAACATTAAAAGAAAGAATATGAAGTTTCTTTCACCTCTGTAAAGAAACTACAGAACAACAAAACACAGAACTGCACACCGTTGCTCTAAATTCATGTCAAATAAAACACTTTCACTTTTCTCTGCAAGAGCAAGAGTGAAACTGCGACATCTAGTGGTCACTTTGTCAAGAATACAACAACCGGAAAACACTGTTTTGTGTTGCTGTTGTCTAATCTTTTGTATTTCCAGAGTTGTTACTTGTGGGACTGCTCTAGAAATGTGGAATAAAAATTTGCTAAGTCTATAGATGGTATAAGAATACAGTTTTTACATGTTCAGATATAGTTTATGTTTTAAATCAAAATTAAAAGGTGATAAGTTGAAAAAAATGTTTGATATATGTTTTTTATGCACTTTGCTACCGGCAGGGTTTTCTTTTTGTGAATTACAACTCTTTGGGGAATTTTTCTTCCTTTGGCTCCCAAAGCAATGATAATTTCCCTCTGATCTTAAATTGCTTTATTTTTCATATTTGTCTCATGGAATTTAGCAAAAATAATTTATTTTTCTAAAATCTGATTTCAAATTTTCGAATTTTAAGTTGCTGGAAAGGAAAACAACTGCTGACCTCCATCTTCAAGAGGAGCAGTTTTACTGAGAAGATGTATTTGAGCTTATACAAATATAATATACAATCTTCACTTTCTCTGCACATCTGCGTCTGCTCTTGCACATGTAGCTGCTGATGCATCAGTGGTTTTGTGGTTCTCACAGTTCAAACCTCCCACCAATTCATAAGAAGACTGGCTATATGTCAGAAGCAACCAAGAAAAAAAAGTAACTGCTTGGATTGGAAATATTATTTTTGGCAGTTTCTGATTAATGTTAACATCAATAAAAACACAATGATCGTGAGTCATGTAATATTTTGAGATGTGAATAAAGTCACATTTGCTCCTCTTCAGTTTCCTTTTTAAACCAAAGTGTAAAAAACGTTCAGGTGTTCTTGTTTGTGGTCAGCCATGTTTTTTCCTTCTTTACCTTCTCAGATTGTTGCTCAGCTGAATTATTTTTAGCTGTGTGGCTGAATGCAAATGATACGTGACGTTTTCATGTGACCTATGATGTTTGAGAAGTTAATTCCCACATTATGAATATTAACTTTGGTGTAACATTCAGTCACTTGTGTCTTTATATAGTACAAAATGGAAAAGTTACTGAGAGAAGCCCTCCTTTATAAGCTGATTGGACTGAAGTCAGGCCAAACCGACATCTGGAAAACCAGACGACTTTCTCCTTCTCTTGTCTTTTTGTCTTCTGAGAGGTAAAGTAACACTTATTTCTACACCTTGTTTGTAAAAGCTACTTTCTACTTTCTTCTCTTGTGATAAAATATCATAATTTTTGTAGATGTAGTTTTAAAATCATACATAAATAGAATTTGTCTCTAATTTTTCTACTTCAAATGAAAATTCAATTAATGTTTTGAATTACCAGCAACATTTATCAGCACCACGCAATAAATACAAGAGTTTGGACTTAAAATTTGGAGGATTTTTCATTTGGGTGCTGTGGCTCTCTATAGACTTACTAAATTCCCTCAAAATGTTTTTCTTTCCCATCATCAGAGCAGCATGAAGACCCTGCCTGGTCGCCTGTTTCTCTGTTTGCTGCTGCTGGAGTTCGGCCTCTCCAAGCCATTGAACGAAACCAAGACTTTTGAACCGGGAAAAGTAACATTTGAGCGCTACAATAAGTTTAAGGTACAGCACATCGATAAGAAAATGACTTTGCAGAAATGCACGGCAGTGATAAAACAGAAAAATATCTACGGCAAAGACAACGGCTGCAAGGCGACGAACACGTTCATCCTTGCTGATCCAAACGAGGTGAAATCCATCTGTGAGGGTGAAGGAGATTATCTGCATGAAAGTCATCTGACGAAAAGTAAAAGACAGTTCAGTGTCGTCGTTTGTACGTTGACTAAAGGTGCCCGGAAACCCCAATGTGAATATGAGGGGAAGCTGCACAGAAACAGATTTGTGTTGGTTCAGTGCTCAGGTGTTCCTGTTCAATATGCAGAGAACATTTTAGACGTTGCAGAATAATTCTTCTCTGAACATTGCAGAGCTTTGTGGCCTGAAGCGTTTAAAAAAAGTGATGCTCCACATACGTCTATCTGCTCTTGAAATGCCTACTGCTTCAATTTCTTGTGCATTATACAAAAAAAGTGCTTGTATCACTTTATGCAAAAAAAAATAAATAAATAAATTAACTTGGTATAACACATTTACTGCCTCACAGATTGTTTTTACTGTTATTGTATCACATGGGTTTCAAAAAGTGTGGAACGGGGGCCATTTGTGGCCTTTTACATGATTTGCTCGGCCCCTGACCACGAGCCAAAGATCATAAAACATTGAACAACAAAACAGAAAGCAAGATGACCCAAAACATTTGGAAGTTGCCTGTTTCTCTTTTCATAAGGCGTCATTCTGAAGTCTGTTTTATGTTATACAGATTTCATATTTAAAAATATGCTTAATGTTGAGCAGGTAAAATGTAAAAAAAAAAAAAAAAAAAAAAACACAGTAAACAAATTAAGCATTTTTAATTTAATGTATTTGAGGTCTGCCAGTAGTTTAAATTTGTCTGTTTTGTTCAGTCTCTAATGTGTGGGAAATGAACTTTGGACTAGTTCTTGTCAGGTGTGAACAGCACTAGGTTTGTGGTTCTGGTCAAACAAAAAGTCACTTGGTGTGTCAAAGAAGATGAGCCACCATGCGCTACTAACAATTAATCATCTTTATTAAAAGGTGTAAAACGTTTAACAGCATATCAGTAAAAAAAAATCTATATATATATATTAATGTTAAGCTGCTTAGATGGTGACTAAGACGATATGTCTGGACTTTGAATGATTCCATCAGGTCTTCCATCAGCGCTGCTGCTGACGTGTCTGTGGTTTTGTGGTCCTCAGTCTAAACTTTCCACCAACTCATAAGAAAACTGCTTATAAAAATAAATATACAAGAACTAACTCTGTTTGAATTGGGAATAAAATAAGGCTTTATTCCTGTTGTTTCAGGTCCACCATGTTTGTTTCCCCTCTGCCTTCAATCATAGTTACTCAACTGGATTTTGTCATTTACCTTTAGCTGCATGGTTGAATACAAATATTATGTATTGCTACTATGTTATGCATACACTCAGTGACCAACGGTGTTGAGATATTCATTTTGCGTTATGAGTATCGATTTTGGTGGCATCAAACGTTCCGTTGTTTGTTTCCTTACATGATGTCCAATGGATTTTTCTTTTGACAGAAATATTATTTATTATCTCAGTATTATCTCATGGACCTGTTATGGTTGTCATAGATGCAAGAAAGACTGCAGATGTGACGGCGATAAAGAATCAACTAATGCTTTTTTAAATATAGATATCATAAAAATGTAGGTTTCAACAGGTTTCCAGTTTTTAATTGAATTGTTCAGCTGAGTTTGCATGACAGAATGAGACTAAAAACAATATTCATGCAGATCTGTATTTCTACACATTGTTTTCTACAAAATGTGGTGGGAAATGTGTGAAACTTTTTGTGTTTTTCTTCATTCTAAAACATGAACAAAATAAATAAAATAATTTGAATATGACAAATTTTCTATCGTAGATACTTATCAAAAATGATTAGTTGCTAGGAGGGTGAGCTTAACTTTCCTCTAAACATTCTGAACTTTTAACAAAGACGGCTGCATTTTAGAAATCTGTGGTGACTCATCTTGTCCGACACATCAAGTGACATTTTGTTTGGCCAGAACCACAAACCCAGCGCTGCTCCGAAGTTCATCTCACATACATTAAAAACCGAACTGCAGTCATTCATGTTCAAAGATATAAAACATTTAACAGCACATCACTAACAATTTTTCATGCTAAGGTTCTTAGACGCAGTCAGAGATCACATGTTTCATCTTGCATGTGTTTCTGCTGATGCATCAGAGGTTTTGTGGTCCTTCTACTCAGCGAGACAAAGAAAATAAGGAATTTAAAGGTTGAGAATTCACAGGATAGTCTTTATGGGTTGTTGTCTAGTTATGCAATAGAAATTCTGCTTGAAATAATTAAAAGAGACAGAAACCTGCTGGGATCTGATAGATAAAAGATGATGGATGCAGTTTTTTCCCCCCCAGCATATTAGCAGCTTCGACTTTCATGTAATATTGAGTAGGAAGCGACCTGAGGCTCAGTGTTTGTGGTTCACCACGTCTGTTTTCCACAAGTCTATTTTCTGCAAGAAGTAGTTACCGACATGGTTTCTTACAAATCTCGCTTTCCTTTTAAAACGTGATTTAAAAAGATAAAAACTTTATTTTTATTTTATTTTAATTGATTACATTTGAAGGTGTTCGGATTTTATTTGTACATTTAGTTGCCTTAACATCGTTGGTGAATTTACCCGTCTTCATTCTGACACAGACATCGAGCCTCTGGCACAAGTGACTCAATATTGTCTTTTCACAATGAATATTGATTATTGTCATACAACCAATCAATTGTTTTTAATTTAATTATTCGCTATGAGGGGTTTGAGAAACCTCACAGGTACATCCTTATTTGGTAGCACACGAAAACCACAACACATGTATTGGTTAGTTAGAAACCTCCCCCAGATTCTTGGACATATTTAATGAGCAGAAAGAGGATAAATGAAAGAGTCTGGCTGCTGAAGTCACAGTTCACTTTGATGTCTGAAAACAGAAGATTTTCTTCTTCCACTGTTTCCTTTTTCGTCTGACTGGACCTTTCTTTAATTCAGGTAAAATATTCAAAACTAAGTTTCTTGATTCCTGTTTGCAAAGTAGCTCAAGCCCAGTCAGGTCAGCTGAGGCTGTGAACCATCTTTTTTTCTGAATTTACAATTAAACTGTTAACAGAAAGATTTTGTGCAGAGATTGCAAATTTGTCAAGTTTAAAAGTGGAATTGGAGTCATAATACGTTTTTATTCCTAACCAAATGTCAACTTTACAATAACTGTTAACATGTTGAGGTCATGAATAAATGTTCCTGTTACTCCGGGGGCCAACAATGAGGGTACCGCCCGTTTTCCTGCTGGCGTCTTTCCTGCAGCTGCAGGTCGCTGCGTTCGGCACGTCAGAGAAAACAAACGGCTCCGAACCGGAACTGAAACCAGTTCTGGAAGAGGATTACGAGCTGTTCAAAAGGCAGCACATAGCCGAGGGGATGGATGCGACTGCCTGCACGTCGGAGATGAAACGGAGGACCATCAACAACAAGAGCTGCAAGGAGAAACACACGTTCATCGCTGAGAAGGAGGAAGACGTGGTGGCCGTGTGCAGGGACCAGGGAGAATATATGAGTGAGAATCATTTGACCAGGAGTGAACGAGATTTCGAAGTTGTTGTTTGTAAACACATGAAAAAAGCCAAAAAAGGTCCATGTCAGTACACAGGACAGCAGCGCACCGCAAGAATTGTGATGAAATGCAAAACCTGTCATGATGTATCGAGGAGAGCGGTGAGAGAGACGCCGGGGAACCCAGGTAGTCATGATGAAAAGATGATAATTTAATGATAAACCAGGAGGAACAACAGAAAATCACTGGCAGAACAGGAACAGACAGACGTGAGACACGACAAGGAACACTGACAACAGGTGGGACTAAATACACTGGGAGGGTAATCACAGGAACGACACACAGCTGGGATCAATCAAGACAGAGACTCAGGGGAAAACAGGACTAGACAGACAGAAACTACACAGATCCTAACAACCTTACCTGTGCACTATGAGAAAGACGTTGTGACATTTGAAGGATAATCATTCTCCAGTGATGATGTTTCACGGTTGTTAAAAAAAAAAAAGAGTAAAAAACATTTACCATTTTTATACCACTTTTTAATTCTGCTTTTATTTCCATGACTAATTGTAGACCTCAGTAAATGTTTTATTTTGGCAGTCTGGTTCCTTTAGTGAACTACTTTACTTCCTGTTTTGCTCTTCACTCCTGTTTTATCAACACAATCTCTCTAGTACTCAGTTATATTCTATTTACTGATCATTTTATTTCTTCTGCTTTCTGTTTCCACTCAGCTAAGTGGTCTCACCTGTTACTTATCCCAGTTGTCATTCTTCCCTCTAGATTTTATTCAGATTTTGATCTGCTGGTTCCTTTTCACACTGATGAACTGTTTGGATAATAAATTTGGCAATGAGTTTCTTAATAAAGGTTTAATTACATTTAATCTGTTTCCTGACTCCCTTTCTATCAGACTGCAGCTACATTGTTGAAACATGGAGCTTTTTACTAATTCAGTGAAAATATGACACTTGTCTGTTTCTGCACACAAAGAATAAAGCTGCAAGTTGCACAAATGCTTAAAGGGTAATAATTTGTGTTACACTCGTATTAATCAGAGTGACGATTCCGTTGTTTGTCAAACCAAACATCCAGCAATCAAAAATCAATGAACCGCTGCTGCACTGGAGAAGACTCTCATTATTAACACCAGCAGTTGTCATGATGATTATAAATTATTTTGTACTTTTTGTTTCATTAATTGATTAAAATACTGCTTTTCTTTCTCATCTTCTGTCACTGTTTCTTATTGTAGACAT